AAGCCATAAAAAGAAAAAGCTATAACTAGGATAAGGAGCTTTATGAGTGATGTAATGGAATAGATATTTGGGATTTTAAGATTACATATGAGGGAAATCACACAACTTTTTATCAGTTTTAATGATATTTGCAATTTGTTTTACCTTTTTTTCTCAAAGCTGGAAGAAATTTTTTAGGGAGAAATAATTTGAGTGCCTTTGAGAACCAATTTGGAAATGTCTATTAAAAGTATTCTTTAACTCTCCTAATTTCTGTGTGTGGAGAGAAGTTTACCTGTTTGTAGAGATTATACAAATAAAATATTCTTTGAGACGTTTCTCTTTGGATCTTTTTTGAACTTTTCGAATTATTCGAAGTCAAATGTAAGTATTGTTTTTTTATAGGTGTAGAAAAACTATGACACCTTTTGCATAGATTTAACATTAGATTCTGGGCTTTTAACATTAGATTCTATTTTCTAATACATTTATATTCCCTTAAAACATCTCCTCCATAATTTTCTTAAAGAAAGATTAACTTCTTCTCCTTTGCTATGTTATCGAGAGCATAATATGATTTATTATGAACTATACATTTAAAAAATATATTTTTTGGACATTATTAAGCATTTTACTAAACTTGCATTTAGAGGTGACTGCTTCACTTTTCTCTGCCACCCAAAAATTCTTATTAGCATAACCTGTATATTATTTCTTTTTACCTAGTCAAGTAACACTTTCCCAGTTTACCTTTCTCATGTCTTCTCCAGGATTTTTCCCCTTTATTGTTTTTAATAATAATTTCACCGTGTAACAGGGCATTCATTTAATTTATCAAATAAATATTAATTGGGCACCAACTATATGCAAGCTACTCAAGGTATGCAGGAGTGGCCAGACAAAAGTCCCTGATGTCGTGGGACATGATAAATAAATAGTTGTATTAGAGAGTGATTAAGTGCTGAGAATAAACAAAGTAGAGAAGAGGGTGAAATATGGGGGACATTGAAACTTGATGGGATGATCAAGGAAGGTTTCACTGAGAAGATTTTTGAGAGAAGACCTGAAAGCAGTAAGGAGGTGAGCCATGTAGGTAGCTATGTCGGGAAGGGCATTCCAGGTCTAGGGAATAGCAAGACTGGTAGGAAGGTGTGTGCAGGGGGACTGGAAGAAATAATAAAAGAGCAAAATTATGCAGCAAATGTTTGAGTTACATAGTCATCTTTATTCTATAATGCTCCTGAGAATTATATTTCTGTTCTTTCTAGCTCTGTGCAGAATCACATGCTTCTCTTTTTATAAATTTACCTTTATTAATAAGCAGTTTAAAAATTTGCCATTTTTACCATTTTTTGAGTAATAACACATATGAGTTAATCAAAAAATTGTGCTTGTGGAAAAACACATGACCTCATTTTTCGACCTGCCATTTATTTTAATGATTAAGAAAAAACTTGGTCTCGTTGCTTTTGGGGCTGCAGATCTTGTGCACTATCCCAGTATGTGTAACTGGCAATCCCCGTGCCTGGTGCTACTTAATATAATAGTTCTCTTGTCTTAATATAATAGTTCTCTTGTCACTTCTTAGTTTTTCCTCACAAAATTGTCACCATTTCAACACCATTTTCAATGAATAATTTCACTGATGTCTTTTAAAAAGCAAAACAAAACTAACCTTGAGAGTTACTGACCTATTTAGGTTTTCTTGGAGACTTTATCTGCTCTTGCTTTCTGATCAGCCAAGTAAATTATTTGCTTTTTATGAAAAGACCAGGAATCGAAGCAAACAAGTTAACCTAATTGAAGGATGTCAGAGGATATTTAACTCAAACTGATCTTTAATGAATTGAAGAGTTAGACTGTAATATGTTAGAATGGACATTTGGAGTCAAAAGATTTTGCTATTTAACTCCCCCACTGAATAGTGGTTAGCTCTTTCTGAACTTCAGTTTCCTTGTCTGTAAATGGGAGAGAATATAATTGAATAATATACCCAAATGCTCCCAAAAAAACTGTTTACTGCCATTCAGTGTAAGTAATGTTTTTTATTCTGGTAGTCCACCAATGTATATCTTTTAAAATTTGTTAAATTTTAGTATTCATTGGCTTGGCAATGTCTGGATATTTCTACAGTTCATAATTTTTCTGGAGTAGATGGTTGCACTAATAGATCTTTTGTGAAAATGCTTCTGTAACATAAATGGGCAAGTCTTGCCTGTCACCCAACAGCCCTGACGATTTTACTCTCAGCTGCAGTGGCCCCTGGCATTTACCTCAGATTTTTACTTGCTTCATTTTGTAGATGGCTATTAGCAAGGGGAAATAGGCTCTATTGAAATTTTTAAATTTCATTTAACCTCTTTTAGAGGTAAAACTACCTCACTAACACGCTTTGACCTGTTTAGGAAATAAACATTTCATTTAGAGAACCTCCAGTCAGAGGTTTACAAAGCTCTAAGTAAATGGGAAATTATTATACCAGCACATTGGCCCACCAGCCCAGGGGTCAAATGAAGCTTCAAGGACCTCCTGAAGTGCATATTGCTGCTGGGCATGAAGTACCCAGGATGTTCATAATAACTTTTGCCTTAAGTTTTCAGAATTTGAAAGAATTTATTAGAATAGAGAATTGGTTCCCAAACTTTGCTGCCCATTAGTCACTAGGACCTTTTAAAAATCTCAATGTCTAGGTCAGACCTCATACTAATTAAATCAGAATGTCTAGGATGAGAGCCAAGTATGAGTAGTTCTTAAAGATTCCCAAGTGATACTAATGTATAGCAAAGTTTGGGACCCTTAGGAGTATGTGGCTCTGGCCTACATTCTTTTACTACCTTTTACTGTTTCACATGCTTTAGCACCATGAATGGGAGCTTGATAATCCTATCATGAGAAACATTTGAAAGTAGTAGGTAATGTCTCTCAAACAGATTTGTGTTCTACATTTTTTAAGAGTATATACTGTTTTACATAGTCTTGTGTTGTTTTGAACTTTAATTTTCATTACTGATCCATGGTAGATATATTTATGTTATTTTTTCCAATTATTACAGATATTTCCTTGACAAATTTAAATAAAACCATGCTTTGTGATTTAAGACACAGTATAAAATGTCTATAAGTATTAACTGGTTAGGAGTTCCATTCCTTTGTTTTGATTACAGTGGCTGTTTTCAGAATAAAGGACCAACCACCAAGTTGTTTTTCCCAATCCATTTTTATTTTTCTCCAGTTTAGTAATGAACTGTTACGGGCTGGCCTAAATTTATGGTATGAGTATGAATCTTAAGGAATAGAATAATTGTATCATAGCTGCATTAACATTTACTAATACATACAATGATTGGTGTATGAGATTAAAAACTGACTTGCAGCATTACTAACCATGATAGTATGAGTGAATACTCATTTTCTCAGTTCTGTAGTTTATTAAGCCAGCCTCATTGTAATCTAATAAAAAAAATAGAATTTTAAATGTACAAGGGGAATTCCTAGGTGTCTTGGTTCCTAATGATGACAAGAGCCAGAGGTTTGGCTCTACATCCTGGAACATTTGCCCAAGGCTTGACCTAAGTTCCCAGTGGTCACAATATTATCTTTAAAACAATAGAAATTCTATTTTGATTTCTAAAACAATTTGTTTCGTGGTCTGTGTCAAATGTGTGTGTGAAAAAATGCAGAACATGAATTGATTCTCTGTGAGGTTTTTCATTGTCATTTAAAATTAAAGAACATGACCCTACTGCTTCCAGTGCTGTCAGAGTAATGAAAATTATGGAAATTTCCACAGTGCAGATATTTGGCTTAATTCATAACATTCAGTTGTCTGATTTTTGTTTTGGATCTTTTGTTTTTCTTGTTTTGCATTTTTAGTTTGTTTTGTTTTCAGCCATCATTTTGTCTTATCATCTTCAATTCTAGAGCAACCTGACAACAGTAATGATACCACTGAATTGGGCATCCTTGTCATTCCTGAGATTAGTGTCACAAATGTGGCCGGAGAGAGAACCGGGAATGGGGAAAAAGGCAGAACACTAGGAGAGATTGATGCTCAGCATATACAGGGTGTACAGGAAACAGCCACAGATCCTAGAGCTGAGAGCAAAGGCTTGCCAGAGATCAGGAGGCAAAAATCTGTAAGAAAAATGATGGAGGATGGAATAAACGCACCTGGCAGAGTGCAGTTTTAGCAGAGCACTTTCTAGCTGCCCCCCAAGGTATCTCATGGCACAGGGCCACTGCTGCATGTCTTAAGCAACAGTTGCACAGTCACAGAAATTTTGCATGTCATCTAATAATCAAAATGCATGAATTATGCACCACAATGTCTCAGTGATCTAATGCTCTTTGGAATGGTCATACCTGTATTTTCTCTGAGTTAACAGTTACGAAAACCAAGGCAGAAAATTACTTCCAAAATAATTTTCTGCTTATATTTTGAAATCTAAAATTATATTTTATCTTTGTATTTTTAACATCTTTGATTTGAAGGATAATGTATATAGAATTTTAACGAGTTTGAATTTGTGATAACTAGGGTTTTTTTAATCTTTGTAAAATAATCTAGAATGTAGAATGCAACCTTTCAAAAAAATCTTTAAAAAATCTTTAGAATATCTTAATATCATTTTTTTAAAAGTTCCTTGGTAAGAGCTCTGATTTTATATTGCCTTGCTACTTGGGGAGCATATACCCCTAGTTTTATTGTGTGGTATTTTTCCTAATTGTTTCTGATCTTTTGCATGAATAGGAAAAGAAATCTTTCTAAAAACCACGTTGGGGGGGGTGTGATTTATGGCATGCTTTCTGTTTAATACACTCTAAATTACTCTTATTTAATTACAGTGAACTTTTCTACATATTCTAGAATGTTTCAATTTATCCTTTAATTACATTCTATAATCTGTTGCTTTATGTAATTATGCTAAAGTTTAAAAGTATCACTGACTTGGTATTAATCATGAAATAAGAATTATTTCAAATACTTAATATTAATTAATCTTTGTTATTTCTTTGTTTAGGAAATACAGAATTAACAGGTCAAGAAGAACTGATGGAGATATCTGAAGTTGACGAGGGATTTTATTCCCGGGCTGCGTCTAGTACTAGCCAGTCAGGTTTATCAAACAGTAGTAACAATTCTAGTAACAAGACAAGTGTAGGGAAGACTCAGAGACGGTCAGGAGGAAGCAAAACTGGAGGAAAAGAAAAAGAAACCACAGGGGAGTCTTGCAAAGATCACTTTGCCCGAAAACAAACTCAGAGAGCCCAAAGTGAGAATCTTGAGCTTCTCTCTTTGAAGAGACTGACCTTAACTACCAGCCAATCTCTGCCTAAACCTTGTAGCCATGGTTTGGCCAAGACTGCCGCAACCGTATTCAGTAAATCCTTTGAACAAGTCAGTGGTGTCACAGTCCCACATAACCTATCATCTGCTGTTGGCTGTGGGCCTGGGACAGATGCCAATAGGTTTTCTGCTTGTAGTCTCCAAGAAGAAAAGCTTATTTATGTTTCTGAAAGGACTGAACTTCCAACGAAGCATCCATCAGGTCAGCAGAGACCTCCTAGTATCAGCATTACTTTGTCCACAGATTAGTTTCTAGTATTCTCACCTAACCAGTGAATCTAGAAATTCGACTTTGCTTCTTTATGAAAGCACCCAGGGTCTTTCATCCCTATTCCAGACAGGACCCCTAAAGTCTTAAATTCTAAAGGATACCTTGACCTTATGAAGGGAATAATGTATAGGTTGTAATAAGGTCAAATGTAGTTTTATTATTTGTTGGGTGTATTTTTCCCCCTTGATTTGAGTCTTGTCTTATCTTTTTTCTTTTTTCTTTTCTTTTCTTTTCTTTTCTTTTCTTCTTTCTTTCTTTCTTTCTTTCTTTCTTTCTTTCTTATTGGTTTCTATTATCTAAGATGGTCAGTGTAACAATACATTTTGGCAAGTTGTCTAATCAAATTGGGTTCATCTCATGTGAAGTTGTGAGTTCTTATTTTTTTTAACTCCTGTTTTGGTACTTGTATGTTTGGCCTTCAGAGTAAAAGGGAATCTCACGCATGGGAGGAGCTGTTTTTAAAAGAAAGAGCCAGAGGGTGCAACTCTAGGAATTCCACAGCTGACTGTGTAGCAGGGCAGTCTGAAAATTAGGCATGTTAAAAAAACAAAAATGATGCATGAAAAGTGCCTGATAAAAATGTTTGTAATCAGATTGTCCTTAAGATTAGTGGAATCATTTGTATAAAGCATTGGAAAAAGCCTCGTAACTCAGTACCTAGACTGTTATGTAATTCCAGTGGATGGGTAAAGAGATTTCTGTTGTTATCTTTGGAACATTTTTATATAAAAAAAATCAGATTACCAGTCAATGTGTTGTTTTGAAGTATTTGATTTGGATTTAGCAGGTGAAAATCCCTTTTAGTTCCTAAACTGTAATAGGCCATGAAGCTGACTTCCCCTGCTGCTTGACTTTGGAAGCCCTAGGTAGTTTGGTTCCCTAGAATTCAGAGTACACATCACTGAAGACTTCCTGGAAATCACTGTAAATCGTGCAACACAGCTCTCAAGACACCGGTGTCAACCATATAGTATTGAATAGTTTGTCTGCAAATGAAGGAAATTAGGTAACTTTTTCTTCTATAAAATGTTGTGAAAGAAAATATAATGAAATATGGACAAAGGACATTTATATAATTAACTAATTTACGTTTATTTATGTTTGTGCTCTTAAATTTAGAATTACAGGAAAAAAATTAAATATTTTCTTTGTGAGCAGGCCTATTTTAAATGTTCTTGTTATGATAGATAGAATAATCAATGTAGTTGCCCAAAACCAAAAAATAAAAATAAAATAGGCAATATGGCAGAAGCTAGACTTACTTGTATGTAACTACAGAGAACTATGTGACCTCTAGATAGGTGTAAAATGCAGTGTTGGCTTCTGCTGGTCCTTTTAGCTGTGGTTGAGGCTCCCTGTAACTTAGGTGTAAGTAACTAATAATTCAGAGAGGGAAATAGAAAGCAGGATTGAGGATGAGAGTAAATTGACTGGGAAGGAAGGCCTAGAGAGCTGTCTGTCCCCTCTTTGTCTCCTTCACTGTTAATACAGAGTGGTTTCCTTATTCACAGTCCCTAGCTGTAGTCGCACAGAAAATGTTAGTTTTCCCTTTGTGCCTGCTTATGCAGCGCTCACGTGAAAAATTTGTATGTCCTGAACAGTGCTAAAGCATATGCTATGAATGCAGTTCTGACCTTCTGTAACTGCTTTGGCTACCATTTTAAATTTAACTCATCAAAAAGCATGAACTAGTTTTCATTCGTTAATCCTAAATAGAATAAGGCTTTTAAAAGAAGTGAATTTGAGTTTTTTACTTCCAGTAATAGAAATGGAATAAGATCTGTTGCCATAAATTGTAGTTAACCAAAAAAAAACCAAAACCAAACCATAAGATGGGCCCGTGAAAATTGATACTGTTTTAACTTAACAGATATCCTGTGTACAGTTTAAAATATTTGTAGAATGTCACTATGAATTTCCTATTGTCTTTTTGTAATTAGTTAACAAAAAATTTCCCTCAGGCATATAGCTACTAACAGTATTAATAGTCTTAAGACTTAATTTAGAAGATCAACCTTTTAAGCAAGTCAAGTGCTTAGGAAACACTAGAATAAATCTGAGGAAAAGCTGGCAGAAATGAGAGATCAGATTTTAATGATCACTGCTGTAATGGAACTTCATTTTTATATTATTCTAGCTCATTGCTACTCCTATATTCTGAGGACCAGTAAGTAGCATTGGCATCAACAGCCATCTTGTTAAAGATGTAGAATTTCAGAGCTACCTTTTCAATGGTCTCACAACCCTAGATCAAATATGTTAGATACTAAATATTGTAATCTTCATGTTTTTAATAGCTTATAAACTTTTATAGTGTCCATGACACTTATTAGATCCTCTAATTCTAAATTTTTAATGATTTTCATTTATTTTTACAATAAAAATATAACATTTTGTATTTTTCTTATTAACTATAAATGGAATCAGAGCTGTAGATGCCTACCATTTTAAATATGAAAGTGGTACCACCATTTTATACAATGCACAACAAATCTGCATTTGTATATTCTTTAAAGAACTCTGCAGGCTTACTCAGTGGAGTGGTTCTTAATTTTTGCTTCAACCAATTTGCACTAGTTGATCTCCTGGAAGTTATGTTAACAGTAAAATTATTTTATAGCACCTGTGATACTATTTCACATAAGGGTTATACATTTGAGAAATTTTATAGCAATTACAAATATTGGATAAATGCTAACTATGATAACAGTTACAATTATTCCTTTTACTCAGCTCTCCAGATTTTAAAGTTGGTGTGACTTTTTAAGGTCATTTTTTCACAAAGGTGCTAATGTAACCATTTGGTCACAGATCTCCTATATCTCTTTATCACAAGAAGGATTCTGCCCAAAATGGGGCCTTGTGTCCCATAGTTCAAAGGATCTGAACAAATATTATAGTTCCATTCCACATTTTAAGCCATTAGAAAGTCTTAAAATTATCCAACCTCTCACTCTTCAAATACACAACTATCTGGGGTAATCTAGTGAAGCTGGGTCCCAGCATTTGCCTTTGGAATCAAGTAGGGAAAACAACAAAATAGACTTTTCAAGGGAGTGCCCCAGAGGACCTAGCACAAGTGGGCACCCTGGGACCCCTTGGACCCTACAATGGAACTTTCTGAGGCAGCTCTGTAGATTTGAAGGGTAGAAATCCTCAGTCCTTGAATGATGACAAAGTTTGTTTTGAAAAAGCAATATTTTGTTGCCCTTTTCAATTATGATGCAACTGCTTAGCAAACAAAATAAAAAGTCAAAGGGAAATATGTTTTTTTAAACCAAAATAGATACAAATGATCCCAGTTTTAAGGGATTTTGCCTATTTTGGAAGACTAAAATTAAAATATTAAAACCTTTACATTTAAATTATAGAGAAAAAATGTACTCTGAGACATAATTTTAAATAGATATTTAAAATAAGGCTGTTTAACATTTGAGTCTATAGGCACAATAAATTTACAGTTAGTTAAAGGGAAGCACATCAAGAAAATCTATATGGTAAATAATGTAACTGAAAAATGTTTTTAAAAAAGCCATTAAAAAGAAGAATAATTTGATGGGTATTTAAATTAAGCATTGTAGATAGAAATTAATGTATAATAGTGTCTTCCCAGTCTTTGGATAAAAAATAAAAACTCTCTAGTACTTTATTTAGCATGAATTTATACTTTTAGATTAGCTGCTTAGTAAAATTATACCCAGTACTTGAGTTATTCACATTTATGTTTAATATGGTTAAATTCTTTATCAGAGAACATAAATATGTTGTCTTCTGTTCTTTGTAACTTGTGCCTATCTAAAAAGACTAGCAGTGAACATTTCGGAAGATGTTTTTGTGTTTTTTTAATAGTGGAGTATAGTTTTTTTTAGAGTACAGTAACTGTCTTGATAGGAAGTTTCTGTTAGTAAACTCAAGATCTTATTTTGCATACCTTTGCTTTCTCTTAGGTGGGGTTTTTGTGTACTTCTTATCTTTTCTTGTAATCTTGTAGTGATACTAATCTTTTCATAGTAAATAACTTGTTTCTAATTGTATTCCTGAGTTTACATTCCTAAAGAATAAACTATGACTTTGCATATTTTTATGTGCTCTCTACATTTTTAAGGTTATGGAAATAAACTGGAGTTTAGTTTTTTGAAGTTTTGTATATTTGTGTAAATGTCCTTATGTAATACTTTATACAGCAGTGTTGCCTCTTGTTTTATTGAAATAAAAACTGAAAAAATATGTTTTCCAGATCATTTTACTCATTAAAAAATCATCATAAATTTTTGCAAAAGTCATGATGTGGAGGAAGAAAGTTAAAGGAGGAAGACTTAGGTGAGTTCAGCCATTGAGAATTTTTGGGAGTAAGCCATAGGACAATGACATCTCATTTCCAGCTTTATGTTTTACACAACCCAAGGATAAGAAGGAGGTTCATTGGTGTCCATCCAAAAGAAAATGAGCTCTCTGGGTCATGTGCCATCAACTCATTATTTATCATCCCAGAAGGACAGGCAAATTTAGATAATAAAACTTTGCCCTTTTATCTTTAATATGACCCTGTATCTCTTGAGTACAGAGGTTTTATGCCCCTGGTTCTGAACATAGGACTTTTTGCACAGTTGGTATTGAGACATTTAAGGAATGAGTGAATTAGGTTAATATTAGTTTTGGGAAAGAATGAAGGATGGAGTCTCCAATATATTATACTACTGTAAAATGTTAGAATTTCATTTATTGGCTCTAGGAAATCTCTGTAGCATTACTTGAATTGCTTTAATGTGTGTGCTTAGAAACAAGACTTTCTTAGAAACTTGAAAAGAAATTCCTGGTGTGTAGTTGATTGTATATTCGGGTAATTCCATTTTATCTAAGGAACTAAGTAATTTGGGAAATGTTTTCTGAACTACTATTAGGAGAGTATTCAGAGAGAAGCACAATAGTGATGTTGTAAGCAGTATATTAGCCCTATGAAATATACACTCTTTTAGTGACTTTAGTAATCCCAATAAATCGTTGACTCACCTCATAGAATCTGACTTTGGTAACGCCGATATAATTATTTTGTAATTATTAGGAAAGGCTTTTACAAACAATTCTAGTTATTTGCTAATTTCCCATGCATTGTTAGTGTGGTAGTAGTAATAGCTAATGTATGTAATTAAAATTTTAATCTCATTTAATCTTCAAGCTAATTCTCTAAAATGAGAAGAATCCCCATTTTACAAAAGAGGAAACTGAAGCTCTCTAAAGGGCAGGTGACTTGCCCAAGGTCACCTAGCTACTGTATGGGAAAGCTAGGGCTTGAACACAGCTCTTATGACTCACTTTCCTTTTATATTACTTGGTAAAAGGAGGTACTAGGTAAATACTACATAGTGGACATATATTTGAAATGCATTCATCCCATCTGTCTTATTGGTGATAGAGTTAATTTTTAACATAAAAATAAAAGTTTTCCAAAAATAAATTGTGATATGTTTTGTAGAACTTTAGATAGGTGTGTTTTGGTGGCAAACCAAGTACTGATTATTCTGATATTAAAAACATGGTAAAATGCAAATTAAGATTTTGTTATTTTTTTTTAATGTGTTAGATAGATAAAGATGAGAGAGCTTGACACTGGTATTGGTATGGGTGTGGGGAAAACCATCTCCCACTAATGTACAGCAGGACTGTAAACTGATACAACTAAGTCGGTGAGCGATTCAGCAGGACCTATCCAATTTTAAAATATACATACCCTCTGACCTAGCAGTTCTACTCTTCTATGTCTATTGCGGTCTTTATATTCTATAGATATTTTGGCACAAATGTGTAAAGGTATTCATTGCAGCATTGCTTATAATAGCAAAAAAAAAAGGGGGGGGGCAACTAAATGACCACTAATAGAGGACTGGATAAATTATGATACGTGCATATAGTGGAATATAATGTAGCTGTTAAAAACAGTGCAGGTCAATATGTGATGATTCAAAAAGATTATATTATCTAATGTTGCCTGAAAAAAATCGTGTCATATAAATATGTATGTATGTATGTATGTATGTATGTGTATGATCCCAATTTCATAAGAAGTGTGTGGAACGTGGGTATTTTAATATGGGTGTTTTGTATGTATGATATGTTTCTATATACATAAATAGCATGTATATAACGTGTATATGTATTATATATGTGTGTATATATACAATAATACATATACACATGTTTACTGGTATGCAGGGAGGAAAGCATTATTTTTCTAAGCATGACCTAAATATAGTATGCAATAGAAAAAAACTAGTGGTTTTTTAAATACAGATTCTGGGGCCTTGTATTAATCCCCCTGAAACAAAATAACTGAAGCATGAAGCATGGCAACCTATATTTCTGACAAGTTCCTCAGTTAATTCTTATACAAACTTAACATTTGGCCTAGTAGCTGATAGCAATGAATTGATTATCTTTGTGTCTATGGTAGTTGTTTGTAGTTAGAAAAAGAAACTTCTTTTTAGGGGCACCTGGGTGGCTCAGTCGGTTAAGTGTCCAATTCTTGATTTTGGCTCAGGTCATGATCTCATGGTTTGTGAGTTCGAACCTTGCCCTGGGCTCCCTGCTGACAGTGCGGAGCCTGCTTGGGTTCTCTCTTTACTTCTCTCCCTGTCCTTCTCCAACTCGTGGATTCTCTCACTCAAAATAAATACTTTAAAAAAAAGACAAACTTCTTTTTAAAAAAATAATTGATAAATTAATTTTTAAATTGAGGTATAATTGACATATAATGTTATACTAGTTTCACATGTACCATAATGATTAAATACTTGTATATATTGCTAGAGGATCATCA